AGGCAGCCCCGCTGCCCACCCCGCTGCGCCCTCCCCGGCCTGCCCCGGGCCTGGGCAGAGCCCACGTCCCTCCATTGCTTCCACCGGGCTGAGGGGGCTGCCGGTGCCTCGAAAGTTTGTGTAGAAGAGGTGGGGACGCCAAGTTCAGTCTGGTTTTGTCCGCGACAATTCCTCTGCTGGAACATCAGGAAATGGCAGTAACGATAACAGGGCTGTGGCACTTTTGGAGAATGTTTTGCTCGCCTGCCTCTGTGTTAGCTGTATGCGGTGACCTTGCGCAGACCGATAAAGTTTGCTCCTTGCTGAGGAAACCGAGGGGCAAGGTTATTTAGCTGTCCCTCATGTGAGCGGTTTGTTAAAGGATTTCACTTATTTTATGCTTTTCCCTTGTGAAAGACCGTGAGCAGTTGTATCTAATGAAGTAGCTGGTAACGCAGGGCTTCAGACCCTCCCTGGTTTGGGTTCAGTGGCTGGGCAGGGCACAAAAAACTTTTGTCTGTGGGTTGTTGATGTCAGGGGACAGCAGGTAAACCAGTGCTCCCCAAGTCCGCACAGATCTCAGTCCTCTTTTTTAAGCAGAATAAAATCCAGTGGAAACTGTACTAATGCATCTGCCCTGCTTGTGCCAGTTTGAGATGCCCAAGCTGCCCCCAAAATGAGTAGTTTTGGGTTTTGCAGGTGTGGGGATCAGCTGTAGGTCCTGATTGCCTAAGCTAGTCTTGGTCAATATTGGTATGGGTGCTTCAGGAGCAGTGGTGTAACTCCTAAGCGCACGTAGGCGAAAGACTGGCACCTTCAAGAGAGTATTTTTGCCTTCTAGTGGGAATTATCCTGTGTCTGGTGCAATCTGACATCAGTGATGGTACTGATGTGTACCATCTCTAAGCAAAGCTGAAGTGGTGTGCTGAAATTCTGGCAAAGCTGTAAAACAGAAGCCACCTTAAAATCAATTGGCAATAAAAGGAAAACAATCTTCTGGCAAATAAGGGGACAGAATTTCTTTGAAGAGCATTTTGCAAATGCAGAAAGGTATCAACACAGTTCTAAGTCAAATTACTGCACTTCCCTGTGTGACTTTGAGTCATGCAAATGGAATGTATAATTTTTTTTTTACTTTCCTGTGCATCAGCTGACTTGAATTAGCCTTTGGAGCCAATATGCCAAAGCACCTTCTCTTGCCAAAAAGTTCTGAAGTGTTTAGTTGGAAGTTCTGTATCATGCATTACAGCCTGACTCTCTTCATCATCTTCCAGTGCATCCACTTTGGCAGAGTCCGCTTACAATTCCTGGGGGCACCCGACAGTCTCCTATCAATATCCAGTGGAGAGACAGTGTTTATGACCCCTTTCTGAAGCCTCTGAAAATCAGCTATGACCCAACAACATGTCTTCACATCTGGAACAATGGATATTCATTCTTGGTTGAGTTTGATGATTCTACTGATAGATCAAGTAAGCAAAACTCAGACAAATCTATTTAATGTCTTATTAATGCTTAAAGAGGAGAAATGTTTGCATGATGTAAAACCTCAGGAAAAACGTTGAAAATGAATGTACAGTTAACGCTTTAGCTGAACATGGATTTAAAGTGATGGGAATTGTAATGCAGAAGTTCTATATAGGTCTCACTTGCTATGTATTTATTACTACAGACATTGTGCACAAATCTTCTGTTGTAGGTTGAAACTTATTGCACAAGCCTTAATGCCCTCTTTTGATTAGGTCACAGCTTTGTCTACATGAGTCAATCTTCAGTCATATGTATCTGTATCTACTTAATTTGAAATGAGATTCCATCATTGTACTTTATTAATCTGCCACTCAACTCTTTTGTGGTGTTAACAGATATATTTAATGCATTTGAAATAATCAGCAGCAAAATGACTTTCAGTTGGAAAGCACACATACTTATCTCAGTAAGCTTTCAGAGAATTAAATAATACTGAGCTGCTACCATAGGGAGCAGGTGCATGTGTTCCTGTTGTTTTAGTGTAAGCAGGAGTCTGTGCATGCAAAATGCAATTATGCATTCCAGCAATTTAATGTGAAGAAGCACTCTGACCTGAGCAGCTAAATCTTTAAATGCTCAATAGAATCAAGTGACTTAAAATCAAGATGTTGCTACCAAATTCTGGATTTTCTGTCCATTGTTCCTTTTAATAGTTGACTTTACCAAAGGATATTGCTGGTATGTATAAAGAAGATATTTTGTAAAGGGTAGATGGACTGGTAGCAGTCGGTCAGGGATATTGTGAAGCACGTTATTCATGTTGATTACTCAACTTGTCCTGGAGGGAAACATTGAGGGACCCTGGGCAAGTTTGAACCCATTTGATTACAGTCATTGCTGTTTAAGACAACCGCTTACCGTGAGAGATGCTAGAACTTCATAAGGGATGTAGTAATGCTCTTGGAAAGGAAGCTTTCAACATATTAATGAACAACTGCTTTGTCTCTGTGATACAAGTATTTCTGGTTTATGTTTAGAAAGAGGCTAATAAAATAATGCAGCAAAAATGGTAGTGGTGGAATGCATGGAGCTTTCAAGGGGTTGTGTGATGTTTGGGGGTCTCTTTTGTTGTTTATAGCTGTTGACCAAGAATATTAGTTTCCAACCAGGGAATATTCTTGTCCTTGTTTGTTTGAGCACCGTGATACTTAATGAAGAAACCAAGCAGTGCCCTTCTATTTGCATGGTGCAAACTGCTATTGTGTTAGTGGGGTGGGGTTAGAAGAGAGACTAAGTTGGAGACATCACTTCTTAGCTCATCAGTGATTTTAACTTACTAACTTTAGGTTGGTTTTGCTTTTAATTTAACAGTCTTTTACTTTATACAGCCATACCCCACTATCTGTTGAGGATGCATTCCCAAAAAGTGTAATGGTTTGCAGCTCAATGGATAACAAAGTTGGGATTTTTTTCTGCAAGGATTGATGTAATGGAGGGGAGCTGCCAGCAGGAGATTAGGAAATACACCCCATTTAAATACACAGGAACAGTTTTTGTGACAGGCAAGCATGGGATCCTCAGAAGTGTCAATTAGAGGGGTGCTGGCCTTTCAGAGGCTGGCTGTTCGGAGCACATCACAGCTCTGAGAGATCTTACCTGCTTCATCTGTAAGACTGAACACTTGAGGTAAATGTTTAAGTGTGAGCATTCTTGCTGCCTCTTTCTGGATGGCTGCCTTTTTATCATCATCATCTTCCTCAAATGAATTTAAGTCAATGAAGGGCGATGACGGCTAGTGGAGGATGGCATTAAACTATCAGTGACAGGATTCCAAAATGACAGAGGAACAACAGATCATGGGATGTTGCTGTATAAATGGCCAGGTTTTCAAGCACTTGCCTCTCTCCTCCACCTTTGTCTCTTTACTGTTTCTGTTTTCTGATTTTTCTTTCTGCCAGCTTCTGTCTAACAATGTTAGAAATACAGAGAAGAAAGTGTATGCATAAACCAAAAAAAGAAAAAGGCAACAGAACTGATACAGAAGATGAAAGACAAAATGAAATGTGCATCCAGGATAGACAAAAATGCCCAACTCCTGAGATGAGGCAAAACAAGGCTTGGGCAAAAGATGAAGGTAGTGCTGCCATGGGGTGTTTGCTTATGAGCAGAGGAGGAGGAGGGTGTGGGGAAGGTATGTACAGTACGTGGTCCTGTCTGTGTGCGTGAATGCCACCTGCTGAAAGGAAATGAGACTGAAACAGAACTAGGGTTACAACAAAAAGTGATGTGATTCTTTCCCCTGCTTGTTGTTAGAGTTCCTGTAAACTTCTGTTTTGTTTTGAAATGATCAAGACTGCTAAACTGAGAGGAAATGAATGTAAAGGAACTGTAAATTCCTACTTGTTTCCTGTCACTTTCTAGTGTCCACTATGGGAACCTGATTTTCTACATATGTGTGCCTGTGTCTAATGTTATTCATGAGGTAAACATTCGAGTGAATATGATTATTAATGTGAACATAGTCCCTTGCAGGTTTGCATCATCACATAATCTGGAATGGATAGTGTTAGACTGCAGAAACTTTCATTCTGAAAGGCTTGGCAGTGTGGGCCACATCTTAATCCCATCCCTGAAAGTTATTTTTCCTCTGTTATGATTTTTTTAGTGATTGCAGTATTGCATTTATGCTAAGAGCTCAGTGGATGAAATCAATTAAATGTCAATTTGCGTAGCTCATTTTACCTTACTCTTCTATCACAAGTTCTAGTTAGAATTTCAAAACTGCTGGCTGGCTTTCAGAGGAGAAGAAAACAAGAAAAAAACCTAACCCAACTCTTAATGCCTCTCATTGTTTTCTCCTTAGTATTAAAGTGATTAACTTCTTTTCAAAAGTAGCATTGGGATTATGTACTTTGTACAGTGGTTTGCTATAAAATTTAACCATGACATACAGTTAAGTAAAAATCAGCAAATGGGTCTCTACAGCTACATATTTGTTGTTAGCCCTTTGCTAGTAATTATGGTGTCTCATTTAACAGATGCTGTGATGTAATAACTATCAAGAAGACATTGCAGGATGTTCCTGATTCATTTAGGAGGAAATGAGTGAAAACCAACACTACAGAGAAAACTAGGCAGACTTTTTCATTCATGTGTTTGCAAAATGATGAGATGCCTCCTGAAATCAGGAGAGCAGACTGAATGTTTAGCTTTACTTGTGGCTAAAAAGTGCACTGAAGCTTCCAGAAACTCAGAATCTTGCCCAGACTGCATGCTTAGATGCTTTGTGGAGTGTAGCTTGAGCAGTTTACAATAGGCACAATATTAGCATATTTCTGGCTGTGCAGGCAATCTTTTCACATTGGTTATGCAATCTGAAAGATGTGTTGAAGCAGAATAGTATGCTTGGATTTTTGTAATTTAAAAAAAAAAAGCGGAGTTGAACATTTGACACAATGTGCTGTTTTTTCTGGCAAAATTGGATTTTTAAGTCTTGTATTGTCATGGGAAAATTCGATATTTTTCATAGATATTGAGGCTTCGCTGGGATGCCATTTTATAGATGTATCCATTGCTTTGTCATACATGTTTCTTCTGGTAAGGCAGTTCCCGTATGCCTGCTCAAAGAAAGCATAGTAATCGGCATGACTCTGCCAAACTTGATGTGGATTGGAAAAAAATTCCCTTGAGGGGAGACGGACAAGGAGACTGTTTAGTTTATCACCTTCAGTTTATCACCTTCAATTTGATGTAGTTGATTCAGGCTGCAGGGAAAAACAGTGATGTGTTTGCTTGAACAGTTTTGTCATAGCAAAGTAAATTGTAAAAGTAGCCAAGCAATAGAGGACTGTTTCAGTAAGGTAGTTGCTTCTCCTGATTTCTTCCCTGGGCAAACTTATTTCAAGCAGGATCTTGCTCTGTTATTTGGACAATTCTAAGTCATGTTTATTAATATGTGTGTCTTGTTTTGTTTTTTAGTAATCATTGGAGGTCCCTTGGAAAACCAATACAGGCTAAAGCAGTTCCACTTCCACTGGGGAGCTATAAATGAGTGGGGTTCAGAGCACACAGTTGACAGTAAATTTTACCCGGCAGAGGTATGAGATAAAATGTTGAACAATGCAAATGCTTGTGGGGACTGGAGGTTAGGTCTCAGACTGTCTGAGGCTCTAGACTGCATGCTAGAAGACTCCCAGTTTGAAGAACTGCAGTTTACTGTTGAGGATCAGACCTGGTAGGTGCCACAGCTCCTCTACCGTTTTATTAGTAAGTTCATATTCCCTGTGTTTTTTGGAGAAGAGCACAGTCTTAAAACTGAACATTGGCCCCATTACTGAAAGTTTCAGTATTGTTTTCTTCTCCCTGAATGTCCCCAGGGGTAGCTGCCAGACAAGCCAGTGACAGGCAGCAAAGGATCATAGTTACTCTAGCTCACTCTGGATGGAGTGGCACAACTCTTCTTGTCCTTCCCCATTTTAAAGGGCAAAAGGATGAGACAGAAAGCAGGCTGAGGGCACAGTCAGGTCTCAGTGAACTTGCAGGTCCCAGCAGATGTGGTGCAGATCAGGTGGACAGCAAATATTCAGGTAAATGTGCAAGCTCAGTTCTCAATGAAAATGTAAGTGCTTTACCTCTGAGCTGCAGTAAGTGAAGAGTTCACATGAGGTGTAGGGTCTGTTTTCTTGGGAGTATGGTGAATGCATTGCATCTCACCTGCTGTCTCTAGTGGACCTCCAAATCTAAAATCACTTTATTATTACTAAACGCTTGCAGAGAAACAAAGCACATAGTAAATACTCTTTTAAAAATATTTAAAGAGAAAATGGATGATTATTTAATTCTCACACCCATACCTATAACTCAAAAGGTCTGGTCCTGCTTACTTTGTATACAATAACCGTCTTGTGTATGTGACCCCAGAGCTTTGGCTAATGTTAGAAAGTTTATTCCAGTTACCAACTTTTTTGTGTGTTCCTTGAAGCCATTAGAATAATGCATAGCAGAGTTCTATGGTAATACAGTGGTTGTCATGATCACTTTATTTTCTGTTTTCAATTCGTAAGCAATTATTAAAGTAGCAAAACTTTTTGTGATGAAGTAACTACTAAGGCAGAAAGAGAGTCAATAAAAAGGATGGAGCCAATGGGACAAAAAACAGATTAAGTTGCTCAGAGAGGAAAGTATGACAGGTATAAACATAGTTATATGCCCAAATGGAGAATCTGAAAAATTATTATAGCTTATTTTTGAGAAGATGTTTATCTCTTGTTAATGCGTTCATAATGATGCCTGTCAGCTTGGCAAGGTGTTTATTAAGGGCAAGGGTGTATGACTAAGTTTTGGAACTGGTGCTAGCTATCTAGTTAATACACAAAACCCCTCAATGGAACACTTGTTGTATTGGACTGTAAGCAGTCCAGAGGGAGCTTATGTTATGTACAGGAGAATGTTCCTTAGCAGAATAGCATGCTCTGATCTTCCTGTTAGGAGATGGAAGAGTCATTCAGGTCCAGCTATACTAAGCTTTTTTTTGTGCCTTTAACTAGCATTCCTGTAATCAGTCTCCCACAGACAAAACCCCTTTCATATGTGTGAAATGTAGTTTATGGGGGTCTAGCTATTGTTTAAGAAAAGGAAGAAAGAAAAAAGAAAAAAAAAAAAAGGAGTACCATTATTTTCCAATAATGTCGTGGTCCTCGTTTTTGGGGCATGTGATTTCTGAGGTAGCTCACTGCAGTGTCTCAAATTGCCAAGGACCAAATGTAACAAAGATCAAAGCAAAGTTTCTTGATATCATTGCTGTGTTCTGTGCATGTGTTGATTCCTCATTTATTTATATTCCAGTTGCACTTAGTACACTGGAATGCCGTTGTGTACCCAACTTTTGAAGAAGCTGTAATGGAAGGTAACGGCTTGGCTGTTATTGGAGTGTTTTTAAAGGTAATTTCACTTTCTGTAATAAGCTGTAACTATGCCTTTTATTTTCATTTTGTTAAAACCAATTTAGGACAAATTACCTCTAGATTTCTGTTGTTGTTATAAAAAAAAAAAAACTTTTTAAGGTAGACATGTAGAATGTCAATTCAATGATTCTCTAACTCCTACCTGTCCTCTGCAGCTAGGAGACCATCATGAAGGGCTTCAGACACTGGTTGATGCCTTGCCAGCAGTTAAACACAAAGTAAGTATTTTTAAGTATCCCACCGGTTATCACTCAGTATAGCTAATGCAGTCAGCCAGCATCGAGGATACTTTGAGAATATCAAAACACTAATAAATGCTTTCTTCCTTAAATGTCAGTAGGGGGCCTGATTGACACCTTGGGTGAATTGTTGATTATACTGGAGGGGAAGCTAATTTTTAAGGAGGAATTGTATACATGCATGCACATGTTTAATGCTTGCTCTCACTGAAGCCTGCTCTTCTGCTTCTACGAAAACAGATGCCACTGGATTAGTTTTTGTGTGTTGTTTTACTGGAAGGAACTTTCTGTGCTGCGTAAAGTGGTAGTTTATTTCTTATGGAATTAAGGCTTCCAGATTTTTGTCCGATCTTTGAGGAGATTATTGTTTGCTTTTTTTTTTAAACACTGTAAATTTTCTGCTAGGGGAATGGGACTCTTTCTTAATAGCTGATTTCTGACTTCTACCAGGAGAGGGAGTGCTGCATCTCTGATAGCATTCAGAAGCAGCTCATGCTCCTCCAGATGCCTATTCCTATTTGAAAGTACACACAAAAAAATACGCATCAAGAATTTTGCTGGCTTGTAAGCACTTCCAGTTGAAGTCGCTGTGCCATTATTTATCACAGTAAGGATTTTTTTTTAATCCAAATAAACCAAATATTTATGGCAGTGCAGTGAAAACTCTGCCAGATAAATATCAAACAAATCAGTTCATTGCCAAAAAGACCTACAAAAATCTGTGAGTATACATCCATTATGAGAATACAATATAAATTTGAAAGAAACTAAAGTCAAGATCTTTAAAAATAAATGGTAATATCAAACATTAGGCTCATCAAGCTGCATGTGGGCTGCTCTGAAAGGGGTCTCACTTCCAAAGGATGTTGGTGACCTGGCAACTCATAAGCACTTGACTTAAAACATTTGAAAACCTTTGTTGCCAGTATATCACTGACTTAAGCACCAAACCCAAGGAATATCACCCTGGTGAGGAGGAGGAGGAAGGTCAGATAGTGCCCATTCTGATGTCCTTGCACCTTCCTCTCTCACACGGTGGGTGAAAGCTCCCATCTAGAATCTCTTGTCCAACTCCTTATTGAAAAATTCTGTACTGTAATATTTCTCATTCTCAGTGGGGAACTGATAAAGCCTATTGAAGGAAAAACAGGAACTTCATTTCCTGCATTGCCAGGATATCCTGGAAACACCTCAAGAGTAAAATGTTTGTGTAGGACATCATGGGCTCTGAAGCTCCTACATGCTGTCTGGTATCTCACTTGTGGGAGTGCAGATTCTGGAGACGTGAATATTTGATGCGATTTAAGTAAAACTTTAGTCCTCTTCCCTCTCCCTGCTGCCTAAAATCACGTTGTGAAAAGTAAAAGTGCTATTGTTTGCAGTGTATTAAGTTTATCTGGCAGAACTACCTGAACTTATTCCACCACTCTTTCTTTCTTTTTCCTGTTTGCCTCTAGCTCCCACAAAGACGCAGTCAGTTGCTCCTTTGCACCACTCCTTGTTTCTTCTGCACTGAATTCCTAATGGCTTGTGGGGACAACAGAAATATTTAAATTTTGTCGACTCACTAGCTGCCTCTTATGCCTCAAACCCAGCTTGCCAATTTTGTACAAGTTTAGGAGGTTTTAAATTATTTTATGTTGATCATTATTAATATTCACAATACCTAATTTTGCATATGTATAAATAACGTACAGTATTTCATCTTATTGTTAAGCTTTTTTTTAAATTTCCTGTCACTTTTTTTCCACGAAACACAATTTTAAAAAATAAATTCTTTCTGGGCTTTAGGACACCGTTATCGAGTTTGATGTCTTTGATCCCTCCTGTTTGATACCTTCGTGCCCTGATTATTGGACCTATGCGGGCTCTTTGACTACTCCCCCACTTACTGAATCAGTCACATGGATTATTAAGAAGAAGCCAATAGAGGTTGATGAGAACCAGGTAAATCTCATGCTTACGCTTCAAATCATAGCATACCTGTTTGATTGCATGCTGCCGTGGAGGGGAAGATGCACACTAGTAGTTGCTTACCAGTACCAGTAATTCTCTGAATACATGGAGATCAGTGGCTGCTTCACACTCAGGCTTTGTTTGGGGAGGTATCCGGACATTAACAACAGCTATTGAAAGACTTCAGACCTCTTCAGTAAACAGTTAAAAGATGTTTCTCCAGCTCTCAGATAGCACTTTATCTTGATCTGTGATAAATGATGGCTTATGCTGGAAGCTGCCCCTTGAAAACTTCTAAGGTTATGTATTGGACCACTGCATAACTTTGTTCTCCTTACCAGGATGCAGTGCTTTTTGTGGGAGGAAGGGAGGAGAAGGGGCAGGTTTTGTTCAATTCCAAACTCTGACCTTCTGTGCGTATTCTCAATAGCCACATGCATTTGCACAGAGATCTTGCAGAGACTGCAAGGACTAGTTCTCTGTTCTTCTCTTGGGCGGACTCTGAAGGTACAGAAGAGATGGTGGCTCCGAGTTCTTCACATGCCATTCTGATGGCAAGAGATAGAGTGAGGCCCCACTGGCGTGTTCTCCTTTGCCTTTGTAGGCATGTTTACTCTGTATTTGGTTATACTGTCCTTGAATTCCTTTTTTTAATTCCCCTTTAAAAAAGGACAGACAACCAAAAGTTGCAGCAAATGTTTGTATTACAGAAGTTATTTCAAGTGGAGGAGTTTGTGGTCAATAGTCTGTTACACCAACCCAAAGTTGACACCATATGCTTTTAATTTTAGTACTTCATGTTTCAATGTAATGTTATTCCTTCGTAGATGTAGGGACAAGTAGAAAATGGTTAGAAGGAGGACTCATTGGAATTGTACTACAATTGTGGGTTTTGTTGGAAGTTCTCAGGATTTTTTTTGTCTAGTCAAAAAAGTAGAGTACTTTGAGGGACATTACAGCATAGAACAAGTCTTGGAGATTGTTGCAAAGCAAGTAAAAATGAACAACCCCCAAAAAATCTACCATTTTTTCATGGTTTAAGAGACACTGAAAGTTATCTGTGCATTGTCCCTTTTTTGGAGGCTTTGATTAATAATGAAGTGCGAGTCCAACGACATGAGGCAAAATACTGATTTATTTTTTTTTTATACAACTAGATGGAGCTAGTCCATCTACAAAGTCATGCTCCAAACAAATGCTAACTCTGAAGAATAGCCATGTACTTGATCTTTATGTTTTAGTTTACATAAAGGAACAGGACGGGAAGAACTGAAGATTGTTAACGGAGCAGAGAGAACTGAATGCATAATGTGTCATTCTTTTCAATTGAACTTTTTTTTTTTTTCTTTCTTGGCTCTTCTTCACTCTCATTCTTTTATGGCACAGAAAGGCTCATAGTTTACTTAACATTGTAATGCCCTTGTGAGCATTAAAAGCTGATCTGCTGCATACTTTATTTTACTCCCTAGTTATAAACCACTGAGAACAACAACTATGTAGATTGTTGCTTGTTGAGGTTCCCTCTTTTCTGGGTGCCAGCATATGCATGTCTATATAATATAACTTCAGGAAGGGTGCAAATTAAGAAGGCTGGAGAGGTTTAAAGATGGCATATGTTCCCTTACTTGAACGGGAATTGGTTCAGTCTCAGATATGCCGCACTTGAGATTTAGTTTACCTGAAGATGACTTACAATTCATCTTCTGCATTGATATGGATGATGGTGTAATCTTTACCAGCAGGTGACAAAGAAGTGCCAGTAGTTCACGCTAAAGTTTCTCAGAATACAAATATAATAATAGTACCTTTGATTATTTTTTCTTCCAAGCATGAATGAATGTGTTTTGTCATGAACTCCAGTAATTTTCCAGTTAGTAAAGTCACAAAATTGGACATTTCTCATTCTCAGCTGGAGGCATTTCGGATGCTGCTTTTCACTTCAGATGGTGAAGAAGAAAAGAGAATGGTAGACAACTTTCGCCCACTTCAGCCATTAATGAATCGAACTGTCCGTTCATCCTTCCAAAGCAGGCATCTCTTGAATACCGAAGTACAGCCCAAGGACCACACTGAGCAGATCAGGCCATAGATGGCCCATGAAATGGCAGTTCAGACTGCAGTACCTGGATATAACAGATGTTATTTTTTAATTATTATTTTTCCCTTTTCTGCAGTGTGTGTATGCCATACAGTTTCACAGCCAGCCAGTTTTAGTTCTGCTAAGTGCCATTTGACCTTCAGTAGAGAAGCTGTGGAGTTTTTTTTTTTAGTTTTGTTTTCTTTAAAGTAGTAAATAATATTAACTCTTAACAAATTGACTTGCTTCAAAGCAGGGATCAGTAAGGAATTATTTTGACAGTGAAAGGAAAAATAAGGGCAGGAGATCTCTTCCTGAATTGTTCTCTGTCTCTTCAACTGCTCTTTCAGTGACTTGCATGAATTCATAATCCCAGCTAAAACATGCAAGCAGGAGGTGGGAAGAAGTGAAAAGTATTAATACTGATCGGGTCCTTTTGTGGAATTCAGAGGTTTGGGAAGTGAACTAGCTTCTCTACACACATACATAGACACATTTATTCTTCTTCCTTTTTCCTTGGTGCTTAGGATGACAAGAGGAGAAGGGAAAAAATGACTTGTAGAATCTAACCTCTTTCCATTCCTTTGACTGTACCATCCATGTTTGATATGGATGTCACAGAACGTCCACTCTGTCTACACCACAAGCCAGAAGACTTTTTCTAAAACCTTATAACAAGTGTAGAAGTTTTTAGCTTTGGCAGCTTTTACTTTTCTGTATTAATAATGTGCCAGGAGAAGAGAGCAGAAGAGAATTCACCAGTATCTCAAGACTGGCAAGAACAGCAAATTAGGTGAAAATGTCCAATTGATCCCAGGAAATTGAGCACATCAAAGGAAGGCGAAATTAGATAAGCCCCAGCTGGCCTTCACAATGGGATTTTTGGGGAAAAAAATAATCAACAGCAGTTTCTGAAACCTAATTCAGTGCTAGGAGAGTATGGACAAAACGCAGCATTCACATACTTGCCAGATTTTTTTCTTTTTCAGTAACTCAGAGTACCAGTGCACTCTCTTCAAAGTTTTGTCTTAAGATGTACTTATAAAAAGAGTTACCTAGCTTCACGAAACTGGGGACCAGATTGTATTATAGCACCTTATGGTAATAGAGGAGTGGTGGTTGAAACTTATTTGTGGACCAGACAAAATTGTTTGTCAGCTGCCTGCTGTGGAGCCTTATCCTAGAGTTATGGTCCAATTGCCACAAGTATTATCTACCTCTGAAGCATACTACTACTAGCCATAACTTCCTCTCTAGCACCTTTCTCACTGGCTTTTTATGCTTTACTGTATTTAACAGTGTGCCCGTGCATGAAATTCATGTACCAAATACGTGGTCGGATTTTCTGAGGAGGAGCAGGTCTGTCTGTAAACTCATGATGTGATCTTGATTGATTGTATTTGAGGAGTTTTCTTAGAGAACAGATGTTACCTGGTCTCCCTCTGCCAGTAAGCAAGGTCACTGGTTGCTGGTGTGATTCAGCACCAAGTGATGCCAGGACACTAGCTTGTCAATGCTAAATGCAGAACTTTAGAATTGATACCTTTTTTTTTTTTTAAGTCCAAGTGTTCAGTTTAAAAGCACTTTAATACTTTTTATTATGATCCTGAGGATTTTAAGGCTTTCGAATATTTTTGTTTAGCCAATTAAGTGCCCAGGTTCTGCCTTTGCTGCCTTAATAGCTCTACCTCAGGCATTTCAACAGTTGTGCCTTTCTCTGTTGGCAGTTGGAAATGTGCTCACTTTACATGTAGAATCACTCGTAAGGTTAATATAAGGAAATCTCTCTTCTCTCCCAGTGTAGTATAATTACCTTTTCGGTGTAGTATATTCAACACAGTAGTGTATGCATCTTTGATTTCCTTACCTCTCCCAAGTCCTTACTGCTCAGTTGAATTTTACCACCTTGGTTGAACTTGGATGAACTATACAATCTATATCAACTTAGTTTAACTGAGACAGTATAGTTCAACCACAGAGTGTTTGGCATCATCAACCAGATTTTTTATTTTTTTTTTTTTACTATGTTTCTGCTCTGCAGAACCATATCAGTGATGGTTTTGCCAGAGAATGACAGGTTCCAAAATAATTTTGAAAGGGATATCTACAATTCTGGCAATAGGAAAAAAAAAATTCTTTTACTTTCCGCCTGAAACTACATGATCTAGTCATTGTTAAGCTTGAGGTTTTCAGGCAGTGCTGTTCTTGCAAACACATTTCTGAGGAGGACCCTGTGGGAAGATGGCAGTGATTCAGAACTGGCGTATGTCTTGTCTATGAGATTTTTGCTCCTCATTATTAGCAGTTAGGAAAAACTGTAATATAAAGACATTTTAATGTTACCTTCACATTTAAAAATACAAGTGACTCAGCAGCACTGAGCTAGCTATAGGTAGCCTGCATCAGTATCCCTGTCATATATGAATGGGTCTTTTAAAAAGCTTCATGCAATTGCTCAAAGTTTTTTCATTGCCTTGGTAATTTTCACCAAGTTTGATCCACTGAACTTGTTTCGCTAGTTAGCATAGCTTTCCTAGCATGTGCAAATACAAAATACATATTTTGTTCTTGGGGAGCTACTGTAGTGTAAATGATCTTCAGGTGCCTCATAATGCCATAGTATGCTCGTACCGAACTGAGTTCTCAATGG